TCCCCTTTGCTTTTTCCACAAAAACGAATTCTAGCTTGCCTTCCGGAGACCTGCCGCCGAGGCCTGATTGAGGTTAACGCCCAATCGCTTAGACTAGTTCTGTTCACCACACTCCATATCGTTTAGTGAATGCAAACATAAATTCTTCTCGATAAACACCTCACTCGTATATTTGCTCTCCCACAGACAAATTTTGACCTGACGCGCTGAAACTGCCACCTTGTAGAGCCTTACGCCACTAGAAGTTTACCTGGGAGAAGGCCTCATCTCAGATTCTCCGGCTCTTTTGGACTGGAACTTCTTCTAGTTCATTCTCTTTCGAATTGTTTCACAATTCGCCCAATCCATTATCACACAAGTCTAACTTCATCGCAAGTAATCCTTGTTCAAAATTTATTTTTAAATCAATGCTAAGCATGAGGGGCAATAAACCACATGGAATTTATCGGAACTGATTGAGGCGCCGCGATGTACTACTTCCTGAAAATTGAAGAATTGAGAAGTGCCTTATCTCTTTGGAGCAGCTATATGTCATATATTCCCCTGAAATCTGCTCGAGAAATGAAGTGATAATAAAGGGACATTAGTTCAATGGCTCCAAGAATTTAAAATCTTTTGCAAATAGCCCAATGTCGCTTAATCAAAGGCCCTCTAATAAAAGATTTTTTCCTACCTGAAATAAGATCTGAAACAAAAGTACACCTAAGTCAGCTATATACGTTCTCCACCACTATAGAATATCGCTCTCAGGTGAACTCAGATTATAAAGTTTTCCGACTATTTCCTCTTGTTTTATAGGGCAGCTTCCAAAATTTTACATGTTATTACCTTACTATTACAGTAACTGTCATAATAATCATCCTTTTAGCAAATACAATTCTCAAAAATGTGATCGATGTTTGATCGCTAGTGCTGGACGTTTACACATTGTTTAATTTGGGGGACTCAAAGTTAGACTTAACAAATTCAGTTATGAGCAACTTGCATACACCTTTGACCATTATGGCGGAAAATTGATGAACTTTGCAAAGTGGAAGCCTGATGCAAACTTTATTTTTCTTCATATCTAAGCTTACTGTATGAATAGCCCCACCATAAGTTTTCATCGTTGAAATCATATTCGGGCCAGTACAGTAATACACCAGACCGCCCAGAATTTCATATCGGATCCTACTGAAGAGGCGCAAATAGCTTTTATAAGTAGAAATAAGTTGAAGTTAAGCTTTTGATTAAACCGTTAATAAGTAGAATAACAAATAAAGGTAATTCATAATGAAGCAGTGATCACAATATCAATATTATATGTGCTTTCTGTGCATTTTACTTCAAGAATACATGCGATCCACAAATCATCTACTTTTGCTTTAATTCCCTAATTTACTTTGACTGTTTAAACGTTCAAGCTCGTTAGAGTCAGAACACCTTTTGTATTATAATGGCATTGGTATGATTTCAGACCTCAGCATGGGTGAAGAGGACGCTGAAGCTGCAAACGGGTTGAAGGTCAGTTTTAGTCTTTTTTTTTGCTTGCAAATCGACAGGCGAGATTTCTTCTATGGGCATTAGGTAATATTTTTTCTATAAAAAGCTAGTTTGACAAACGATCTACAACTACTACTTCCCTGAAACTGCTTACACGACTACCAATAGTTTTAAATTAATCTGCATGACACGAAGTTCAGAGCAAATAGACGATCTAGTAGAGCTGGTAACCCTACGGAGATTCGAAATGAAGTTGCGATGGAAAATTTGAAAACAACATAGCATTTCGCAATATATTTGGCAAAAGTTGGTTTGCGTTTAGGAGATATCATTAGTGTTAACTCTTGCTTTTTTAACCACCACTTCAGTGAAGCTTGTGAAATGAGCTGAAAATGCACAGCAGAACAAGAAGTCTTCTGTCTGCAGCAAAATGAAAATCGAGCCAGATTGAGATTTCAAATTCAAATCATTCCAGGCGATGTCCTCTATGGGCGCACCGGACGAACGATCACGGACATCTTCTTTGGTTATCAACTACTTACATTTAGATGCTGATAAAGTCTTGTCAGCTTACGGGAAATATGGACGATATCAGGCAAGCGTCTAGACTTGTCCTATTTTTCTCAAAATACGCTTTTTTCTCAACAGATTGGAATGATTCGAATTGACATTTGCTCTTATAGATGGTCACATATCTGGTGTTGAACAGTGTTCACATTCTATTTGCAATTAATATGATGGTGATGCCATTCATAACTGAAGACCCAAAATTCGAGTGTCAAATCACACCTCCGGAAGGTGTACAATGGGTAGGTATCTGATAAGCAAGAGATATCACCTTGCATTTTCCAATGAGTTACTTATGATGTTAATTTCTTTAATTCTAGGAATACAGGATAGTAGACAAGTGTACAGTTAAAGATGGAAATAACTGGACTCTTACGTGCGATAGTATACCGGGTGCCAGGTGAGGGATTCGAGTTTCAATATTTTGAAAAACGACTTTAGATTTCACTTGAGATAAGAAATCGATTCTTTATAAATCTTATGGACAACTCCAGAATTGTAAGTTTAAGAAAATGCAGCGGTTCCAGCTCCGCTCAACCAGGCTCCATTAGCTAAGCATTCTCCTACAGCCCTTCTGAGCACTCTTCTGCGACCAAACTTATAGCAGTATCAAAAAAGGATATTTTGATAATAGATAAAGGCTTTCAATTGATATTCGAACTATACTTAGGTACAACTATTCCGACGTCATTCATGAATCGTTGGCTTCTGAATTCAATTTGGTTTGCGACAACTATGAGTCAGTCGAACATGGCGCGTCTGTATTTATGCTGGGTAAATGCTTGATTTCCAACTATTCTAAGTTACTTGATTCGAAAATCTTCAGGAGGGATGATCGTTGCTCCAATCATTACGCAATTATCAGATCTTTATGGTCGCCGACTAACATTTCTC